AAAGGAAAAGAATTTAACCTTGAATCTTTTCAGTGGTTTCTTTTGACAACTGGTTCGACAAGAAATCGCTTGCGCAGCTGCAAAGGTAAGATCAAATTTTACAAACATATTAAGAATTTTTGCTAGAAAATGAAACAATATTTAGAAGTTTTCTTCACAATGAAATATTCATGTATATTCAAAACGAATCTAATGGTCGAAATTTGATTTATTTTGTTTCAGGTCTTCCCTACTTAGCATTTATAAAAGTTCTATGCTGGACTCGTGTGTGCAACGGATGTACTGCGGGTTTTTACAAACATCATAAATGCCAATCTTTGGAATAACCTTTTCCTTATAAGGAAACATTCGACATTCATTGACCGAAGTGTAGTGTTACTGTCGGTTGAACTTTCTAAAATCTTTCTCTTAAAAAAATTTCGACCCCCCCACCACCACCACACACACAGAGTTATTTACTAAACATAGTTTAGAGGTGGCACAGGGCGTGAAGTCACAAGCACCCAGTGAGGAGCAAACTCATGACTCAGTCGTAATGGATTTAGCGAGACAAGCTTACTAACCATTACCCCACGTCGAAGTTCCCAGTACATACACATACACACACACACGCACATATATATTATTTACATTACTTACGCGCGGAGTATTTTCCGCATCTTTGTTGTTGTTATCAAAACATTTCGGTCGTTGTGCTGTTCGGCCTTCATCAGATCCATTACAATTTTAACATGTTCACGTCTCGTGTCAACAGATGTAAACCCCCACCTTTTATCCGAAAAAAAAAAGCTCCTTAACGTAACCGCATGTTCCCCACACCCGGGGATTTATACCGGGTGGACCTTATCGTAAAAATGGCACTTCTCGACCGATCTAACTAGCCGGAAATTCCGAACAACCCTTTATTTAATTTACAGTGACAGATTGCTTCTGTCTTAGTGAACCCAGTAATTGTTCGCCCTACTTCCACTGGGTCTAAATACACACTGGGTTTATATATATATATATATATATATATATATATATATATATATATATATATATATATATGTTTAATCGTTATTCATATTTGTGTAGATGCACTGTTTTTTATTATTAAGCAGTATATTTATTTATTTACATCTATCGAACTGAATATTCGAGAAATCGTGTTAGAAAAAAAATTTCACCCAGGAGCATGATCGAACTTGAGCCCCCTAGAGAAAAACCGTCATTAGATCTAACGAGCCTTGACATCTGGGCCACATAGGACCTCCTGGTCATACGGAGCACATATAGTTTGATTAAGAGGTCGTACGTTTTATTTTATATATATATATATATATATATATATATATATATATATATATATATATATATAAATTAATTGATTCCATTTCATCCTCAAGCGAATTTTGGACTCCAAAATTCTTTGAGGATGAAAATGTAACTAATGTCTTTAATTTAATTGCATTTTTGAAACACGGTTAGAACTGTGTAGCGAAAAAAAACATATTTTAAATCAATTAATTTATAATATTAATGCTCTGTAAATTTACATTGACCACTATTTTGTAAAAATAAAAATATCTATAAGAACACCAGATTATATAGCTTACTGTTCTTTCTTATTTATATTTATATATATATATATATATATATATATATATATATATATAAAATGTCATGCAAATAAAGATATCACATGTGTGTGTGAGTATGCGGGTAGCAAACAGTAATCAAATGAAATCAGCTAATCGTGTTCAAATTCTGGACTATCCAGCTGCGTTTACTTTCACACAATTAGGAAAGCTATAAATCTTTTCTCCCTCTCACTCTCTGGACTTAGGTAATAATTCTTAATATTTCTTGATTGATAAGACATTTTACATAATCTTTAATATCATCGGTCGCATGGTCGGTGTGATCGTAGGGTCGTTGCCCAACGTTGCACTTGACAATTCACTTCACACATCTGGGTTGAAAGCCGGATAGATATTCATTCATGCATCGGGTGTCCTCGGCAAATAGACCTGTCGAAGCTCACCCCTTTCCAGGTCAAACCACAGCCGATGTCCTCTAACCTGAAGGCTGGATTTAGCATCAGACACTTGGCCGTTGACTTTACTAGAAAAAGCCTTCCATCGTGGCCGTTGACTTTAATTTAGGGAGAACTGCGCCCAGCAATGCCGTGATATTATCGCACTAGCTGCATGCATAGCTATGAAGCCTATTCTGCCCCATTGTGTTAGATGACTGCCGACCCTCCATGAAGATTCATCAAACTACGTCTTGTCTTGTTTTAAATCCTGCTATATATCTAGCAATTCTTCTCGTCAGAAGAGTCTGGTGGAGGCTACTGGTTTCGTCGTCGATGACCGGACTTTGCGGCAGTAGCACTGGGTTACATGGTACTACAAGCCCATGAACACAATCTTTTGTATCTCGGATATTGATGAATTCTCTGAGATTTTCTTAATCGATTGAGTGATTTTCTTTTTACGGCTTATCAACCCTTTGTTGGTGATTTAAAGCCGAAACATTTTGGATTGTAAGAATAGTCCTATTTTTGTTCGAGCGAAAATTGTTTTAATAATGATTTTTTTTCTAGATACAAATATTACTATATAACCCATAGCTGGGAGGAAAAGATGGATCTATACCTTTCCCAAACGTATTTGCGCTAAAAATATAAGTAACGAACCCGACTGGAATTCGAACTTTGTTTTAAGACTTCTCCTTCTAAGCCGATATACGTTACACCAATCGCAGGTTCTGGAATTTTCTTAATATCTCTATCAGTATTATTTTCAGTCACTCCTAGTTCTACTAATATCATTAAAACCGTGATTGTGTCTAAATACCATATTGTTACAATTTCTATTTTCACTTCTCTTGCAAAGTTTGTCAAATTCTTTTGCTGAGATGTTTTTAGCAGACTGGATGGCCATCACTCTAAGATAGCCTTCACTTGTTTTTTTTTTAATTTTAAACACTTTTATTAATTTTTCATGGTCTATGAGATTGTATATTGCGTAAGGTATGATGAACTCATTGAGAACTCTAATATTTTTACCTTCTAGCACTGCTGATGATTTGTGTTCTTAACATTTTTCTACACGGGGAAGGTTATCATGTTGGAATATCACCCAACGCATGTATTCATCTACAACAGTGGTTCTCAGCGTTTTTTTTTTTTGTACCCAAGGGCAACTTTTGCTCTTAATTCTTTTTTTTGGTGGGGGGTACCCATAACCATTCGATGAAAAAAAAAAGAAGCTCATTTTACTTTTTACTAATAGACAAGTCTAGGAATTGTATTATAGAAATAGTAAATGTATATGCTTTATATTGAAGCAAAACTAATTTAATGAAAATAAATTGTATCTAACAACTAAATTATATAGAACACTAGTAAAATAATTCATAACCAATCTTTTTAAAATATGTGAGTAATTAATAATTTGAAAAATGTTCAGATATATTCAATGAGATCAATGATGCGAGTTTATATATATATATATATATATATATATATATATATATATATATATATATATATATATATATCCGGCTCCATTGATGTCAATGATAGTCGAAGATCACCCCTTTTCACAATGTCGAGACACACAACAAAAAAACGATTCAAAAAGGTAAGATGATGGAAAGGCAATAACGTCGTGCTAAGTATCCCCCCCGAGTAACGGATATTTTTAGCAGTGTCATTTGCTTTCCATATATTATGCTTCTTCAATCTTTTTTTGCGTGGACCCGAGTAATGTCACATGGACCCCCTCCCACCAGGATGCATATGCATCCCGGTTGAGAACAACATCTCTACACTATCATGTCAACATTTGAATTTCTTATTTCGCATCTTATTAAAATATATTGGAGATATTACATTATTGGTATTTTTCATCAAGTCGATTTGACCTAAGATAGAGTCCCTTTTGCTGGATATTGACAGTTCCCAGTAATGCCGACATTTTCAAAGTTGGAAGAGAGGGCTTGATTCCAATTGGGCTGCTGCTAGGAGAATTGTTTCACTGTATCTTACCACAATTTATCTTGTACTTTTATACGTCTACTATTAGTCCATGCATTGAATATAGGTGTCACGTTTGATCTTGTGCTTCTGCTAACGATTTAGATATTCTTGATGAAATCCAAAGAAGAATCTGCAATTTTCCTTGATGCTGACCTAGCATCTCGGCTTCAATTACTTTCTTACCACCCTAACTTCCATTTGTTTCCATTTGACTTTTTTGTAAATATTTACACTGAAATTATTCTGATGAGCTTTCCTCTTTGTTACATAGACTTCGTGAATTTAAACGCAGTACTAGACTGGCAGCGAGGTCTCATCATTTAGTAGTTGAAATAAAAATATGTAATCCTAAGTTTTATGCTAACAGTTTCTTTTCTCGCACTTGTGGAAATCTCTAATGGCATCTTGCTTTCTAGTCTACTTTGATATTCAAACATCGAAATGCAATGTCCATCGTTATCTTTTGTCTTCTTAATTCATGTTTTTTTATTGTTCTATGTCCTTAATGTTTTCTTTTTCTTATATTCTCTCACACTCAGTAATACCTTGCGTCTTAGTGGATTTATTGCCTTGGAGTGAAATGATGTTAAAAACCTAATACAGAGGACCCTTTTCAGAATATTCGCAGTTTCCAGCATTGACGACTTCTGTAAAGTTGAAAAATAGGGCTTTATTCGAAGGATTTATTGTTCAATGGCATAGGTATGGAGCCTAACCCACCTATGATGATACGAACTAAGGTGCTGCCCATATCCCTGACACATGCCGTAAAAGTACGGCTAACTGTATACCTGCTGAGTTCATTAGCATCTTTCTGCTTTTTTTGATGCCTTGAGCCTCAACATCAACGACAGTTCCTTTTTTTCGCTTTATCCTCTACAGTAATATCAGGTTTCATGTGTTGAAGCTTACGTTTGGGTTAGATTTGGAAATCCCGCTATTATAAATTATTATTATTATTGTATTACAGAAAAACTGATGACAAGTTTCCAGAGAGGAAAGGTGTGTCTGTTTGGCTGTGGGAAGAGGACTATTTGAAATGGTCAGAAAAGAAAGGCGAACAGAAAACTAATTCAAGGTAAGTAGTTTCTGCTTTTAAACTTTCCGGTTTTAAAGATTTTACAGGTACACAGGAGACGTGATTACAAAGAACCAAGTATAAGAAATACTTATCAATGTCGTCTTTTCTGTAATCATTTCACCCCAGCTAAGGCGATAATACCACAAGAGGTTACTCGAAGTGAAAAAGAATGAGAAGACTTTAGTGAAGAGTAGTGAGGAAAAAGACCAGTAAAAGAAGACTCGGCAAGACAGAAGATGGCGATTGTTGGTAGCAGGGATGCAAGAAATCGGAAGCAAGTTTTTAAAATCTTTTACAATTTTCCCTATTTTGATTTTATTAGTTTACAAAAGACGTAAATCCGTTATCGTTGCGGAAAGTGGAATCGGTGTAACGAGTTCGAATTCTGGTTGAGTTTTTTGTGTTCACTTTCACAGAAAGGCATGAATCTATATCTTCTCTTGCTGGCTAGGGGCAGACTGAGCGATCTAACTTTGGTTGGCAACAAGGCTAAACGAAGGAAAATTCAGAATTGTTTGGGTGTTGCTATAGAAACCACAGCAGCAACACTGAGACTATGGCCTTATAATATCTAGGGAAGTCTACTGCCACTAAAGAAGGAAAGAGGGAGAACAAAAATTTGGAATTGTTAGTCTTCATATGTAAATCTTAAATATATTTTCACAACTATTAGATTAATTTTGGTAATTACAGGGGAATCAGTGTGTTACTTAACAACAACACTATACCAAATCCTACAATTACCGAACAACTGAGCAACGACGAGGTTTTGGAGAAAATGTAAACTAAAAGAAAACTTATAGTTAACATCAGGAGAAAGTAGTTGAAAATTCTGGGGCACGTAATGAGGAAGGAGGGCTTGGAAAACCTGATACTTACAGGGCAGACTGAGGGAAAGAGGGACAGAGGAAAATTGCGCGTAACATTCTTGATGGACTTCAGTAAATGGATAATAGAACAGGGTTTATGAGAAATAACAAAAAGAAAAAAAAAATATTTAAAGCTACATGGGACAGGAGGACCATGATCGCCAACGTCCTTAAGGTACACAGTGCATAGAAGAAGAAGAAGAAGAAGAAGAAGGGTAATATTAGCTGCTTCCTAATAAGGAAATATTCGGCATTCAATGACCGATCAGAGAGTATTACCTTTAGTTAAAAGTCAGGAAAATATGTCTCTCAAGATAACTGCTATCAATTTTTCTAGATTTTTCGAATTAAATGTACTAAGTAATTTTCTACTGAAAGTCATAAAATGATATGGCTCCTGTTATTTGGTACAATTCTTTGTTTCTGTTTCAATTTCTGGAGCGTCAGTACACAAAGTTCGAAAAAGGATGATCCTCTCTAAGACTTATTCGTATTCGTTCGTTGGAAGTCATTTGTAATCATTGATCTGAGAAAACGGTTGTATACAGTTGACTTTTCTGAAAATCTCGATTTGACAAAGCTATTTAAGAACATGACTCGAGATTTTAGGTAATCTTTCGATTTTGCAGCAACCGACGGTATTGGGCGAAACTACATCTTGTGCAGTCTATTCTATGCTCAATTTCCTTATCTCATATACTATAAGTGATCCATGACACGAGGTATTTCTAGTGTTTTGTAAGTACTTTTTTAGTCAAATTCACCTGATGTAAGGCAGTAAAGCTTCAAAGATACAAGTGGTTACTGGCTAAGAAAAAAATTAGAAAACAGAATTATGACTGAGGAGCGTGAACAATGGAAGAGTAAACTGTAAGACAACAGATAACGATTGACATTACATTCAAATTTTTGAAGCTCAAATTTTTCTGGAAAGCAAGAAGCCGGAAGAGAGATCTACGAGCAGGGAGTGCAAGAAAAGAAATTGTTAGCACAATACTTACGGTTACATTTAGCCAACTCAACTGTAAATTGATGAGATCTCGCTGCCATTCTATTACTGGGCTTAAATTCATAAAGTCTAGGTACCGTAGGAAAGATATCATTCGAACAATTACCATGAAAGTATTTATAGAAAAGGCCCAGGGAAGCATTTTTGCGTCGATGGGAAAGTAACTGAAGTTGAGACGCCAGGTCATGATCAATAATATTGTTGATTCGTTGTCGTATTTTATCAAGAATCTTTAAATATAAAGCAGGAGCACCGGACCGGACGTGGCAGCAATATTCGAGACACGGACGAATGTTAGACTTATAGATCTTTAATGTAATTTCAGGGGAGAAAAAATTCTCTATTATGACACAGTGAACCAACATTCTTACCAGCAGGCCAAGCAATGGATTCAGTATAATATTTCCACTTCATGTCAATCGAGAATGTTAGCCTGAGAAGACGCAACGAGTCACTCTTCTGGAGGTTAGAATCAGCCAGACTGATAAAAAGGCAGAAAGTGTCTGTCAGACGATTGATAGAAAATAGTTTGGGTTTTAGAGGCGTTAAAATTAACAATATATTCTTTGCCTCAGTTAACAACAGACTGCAGATCTTTTCTGAGATCAGTCGTCAATTTGACCATATCAGTCTTTTGATCTTTTATGATGAATTTAGTGTAGGGTGCGATCACCGCTTTCATTCCAGCCGTGCCGTCAAAATAGCAACATATTTGAATTCTATTTTTATGAGAAGTTTTTCACATGTGATTTGTTAACTCGAGTTTTTCAATTTATTGCTACATTTTGCGCTTTCGCGGATACGTTCTTTTCACCTTACTGGTTATCTTATCCGTCATTGTTTTAACAAAGGCACTGAGATCCGGCGTCACCAGTCAATGAGTGATTATTCTATATACCAAAAAGTTATAGATATTAAATAAAAAGCAATCACTTATACATAGTGTTATGCAATCGTTATGTCGACTAATGGTAACACGAAACATCAAAACATTTCTATTTAACATTACACTTGATTTGACTCTGTAATTCGTTAATTGCTGTTGGCCTCTGTGTGTGTGAGAGAGAGAGAGAGAGAGAGAGACTAATCCGTAGCGTGGACCTTGCGTTCTCGTATGCTAGGTGAGAAAAATCGTTGGGAAAATAAAACAAAGTAGCTATTAACGAGAATCGAACTCATATTCTATATTTCGGAAGTTTGTCTTTTGTGGATATGGTTTTAACCTGTTCCTCTAGAAATTTTTCATTATTCTTTCACACCTTTCAATACTATTCTGTGTATCATAAATGTCGTTGGCAATCTCTCTTGTTCGAATTAAAAAAACCAAAAAAAAAAACCAGTCTGTCTTTAATGCCAGTCGATAGTTTTCATTCGCTTCTACGATGATCTCTGAATTGTTTAGGGGTTAACGTGACTCTACAGAAAGATACCTTAAAATATTGTTTGAATTTCTATAAAAGAACTCGTGGAAAGAAAAAAACTAAGCTCATAGACAAATAGGACAAAGTTCATGACTTCTGAAAAGGATTCAGAACAGAAACATCGGGCGAATTTTTTCGCTGATGTTTTATCTTATCCAAATTTGTAATTGCGAGTAAATATTGATAGCATTTATATAAGCACAAGCTGTAAAACAGGAGATGTCTTCATGTTTATTGAAATTGCTTGACAAAAGTAGATGTTAATCAGTTTTCAACGTCAAACTCTTCAAAAGGAACGCAAAAGGTCAAAATATTTAAACACATACGAATTTTTAAACAGATTGAAGTGAAAATGCCATACAGATGAACATCTAATAAGATGAATTCTAATTCGCTATCAGTCGGAAAAATCCATTTATGAGTGAGAAAACTGAAATGATATTTTTTCAAAACATCTGAATATTAAAAATTAAACAAAATTTGCTAAAAATTCAGATTTCTCTCTACAATGAGATTTCACATTTTTGAAGATTAATTTTATAATTGTGAGGCGTCCAGATAATTTGTATAAAACCTCCTTCCTCTCACGTTGGCCAATAGAATCTTCCTGCCTATTCGTGGCAGCCAGCTAGAGGCTCTCACTCTGGCCAGTAGAAAATGGCCGCAAACTACATGAAAACTGCCGTAGAAGCATGAAAAAATCGATTATTTCCACTATCGATGGGAGCTGGGAAATGCAATGTCGGTCTTGGCCTTTCCGCTAACTTGGAGCATGTGCATGTAAACTTTGGTGCAAATCCGTCGAAAATTGCGGCCGTGCATTCGTTACACACACACACAGACACACACACACACAAACACCCACCCATCCACCCACCCACACACACACACACACACACACACACACACACACACACACATCCTGCCTTTTATAAATAGAGATTCATGTACTTTCGGCTGTCACTGTAGTCGTTTTCAAGAACTGCATGTTATTAGTTTTGATTGTTATTAAAACTATACATACAGTTTTAGAGGCTTCACACTTATTTATTTGTTTTATGTTTTAGAAATACCCACAGAGGAGAGTCCTGGGTATGACGATAAACTACATCTAGATAGAGTTCCAGTTATGTGCAAATAGTGGACCCCCTAAACAAAAACACTATGAAAATATAAAAAAATATATTTTTATAGTAAAATACCACCAATATATTTTTATATTAAGAAAATGACCAGCAATACATTTTGTTTGTAGTTGAAGGTATACCAATTGCATTCAAAATATATTTAGTCAAAGCCATGAAATTTTGTTCAAAACATTTAGATTTCGGCATTAAATAACACAGAGAGGATGATATTTTGCTAAACAAAAAGCAAATAACTAACATGAAAGAACTCTTTCATGACATTTATCCATATATATCCTACAAATTTTTAAATCAAAATGTATTCCAAAATATAACTTCAACAAATCTACAACACAAAACACACATCGCCTATAATAGTTTTGTCTAGACAAACATGTATATTTATAAAAGCTGAATATCATCTACCATGTATTCAGTTGTGAAAGCAGAATAACATATCATATTTTTAAAGCTCTCAAGAATATTTCGACATTTAATTACCCATAAGGAGTTGATATACCGTTAAACAAACGAAACAATTAATCCTACATAAAATCATTTATATTAAAAGTAAT